CAATACAGTTCAGTTTGTCCCTGCTTGTATTCTACTGTGGCTTCCCACCACCCCCTGGTTGTATGTACGTACGTATGTATGTATGTATGTAAAACATTACCATGGTTCTAAGAGAGCTATACAAAAAATATAACCAAAGAAATGTCTCTTTCTCCTCCTCTCTCCATTCCCACTCTCCCATTCTTTCCACCCTGTTCTCACCCATTCCCTGTAGTACCCAAACTTAGTTTCTGCTTTATGCTTACTGCATTTTTTCCCCCCAGAAATGAGTAGATACATGTATATTTCCTTTTATCCCGTTATTTATTTTATGGAGATATAATTCACATAAATTCACCCTTTTAAAATGTATAATTCAGTGGTTTTTAGTATATTCATGCTGTTGTGCAACTATCACCTCAATCTAGTTTTAGAACATTTTCATCATCCCAAAAAGAAACCCTGTACTTCACTCCCCATTCCCCCCGCCCCAGCAACCACTAATCTACTTTCTGACTCTATGGATTTGCCTGTTCAGGACATTTCTTATAAATGGGATCATATAATATGTGGCCTTTTGCGTCTGGCTTCTTTCACTTAGCCTACAATTTACAAGGTCCATCCATGTTGTAGGATTTTATATTCCCATAATTATGAGGGTTCCAATTTCGTCACTTCTGCACCAACATTTATCACCTTTTTTTTTTTTTTGATTATGGTCACCCTAGTGGGTGTGAAGTGGTATCTCCTTGTGGTTTTGATTTGCATTTCCTTAGTGCCTAATGGTGTTCAAATCTTTTCGTATGCTTATTGGCATTTGTATATCTTATGTGAAGAAATGTCCTTTGCTCATTTTAAAACTGGATTATGTTTTTTTTATTGTTGAGGTGTAAGAGTTCTTTATATATTCTGGATACAAGTCCCTGATCAGATATATGATTGTGAATATTTCCTCTCATCCTATAGGTTGTCTTTTCATTTTCTTGATGGTGTCCTATGATGCACACGTTTTAAATTTTGATGAAATCCAATTTACTTTTCTTTTGGTGCTTGTGGTTTTGGTGTTATAACTAAGAAACCATTGCCTAATCCAAGGTGATGAAGATTTATGCCTATGTTTTCTTCCAAGAGTTTTATTTTAGCTCTTATATTTAGGCCTTTCATCTATTTTGAGTTAAATTTTGCATATGGTGTTAGGGAAGGGCCCCAAAAGCCAGTCCTGGTGGTCCAGTGGTTAAGAATTGGCGCTCACTGCCGTGGCCTGTGTTCGTTTCCTGGTCAGGAAATCACACCGCCCATCTGTCAGTCGTCATACTATGGCAACCGAATGTTGCTATGATGCTGAAAGCTATGCCACCTGTATTTCAAATACCAGCAGGGTCACCATGGTAGACAGGTTTCAGTGGAGCTTCCAGTCTAGACACACTAGGAAGAAGGACCTGGCCATCCACTTCTGAAAAGATTGCCTATGGAAACCTGATGGATAGCAGCGGAGCACTGCATGATATAGCGCCGCAAGGTGAGAGGATGGCGAAAAAAGACCAGGCAGGGTTCCTCTCTGCTGTACATAGGGTCACTAGGAGTCAGAATCGACTGTATGGCACTAACAACAAAGGGGTCCAACTTTCTTCTTTTCCATGTGGACGTTCAGTTGTCCCAGCACCATTTATTGGAAGACGCTATTCTTTCCCTATAGAATTACCTTGGCACTCTTGTCAAAAAAATCGATTGACCATAAATGTAAAGTTTTATTTCTGGACTCTCAATTCTATGCCATTTGCCTATCTGTCTGTCCTTAAGCCAGTACCACACTGTCTTAATTACTGTAGCTTTGTAGTAACTTTTGAAGTTGGGGAATGTTTTCCGACTTTGTTCTTATTTAAGATTGTTTTGAGTATTCTGTGTTCCTTACATATCCATACGAATTTTATGATCAGCTTATCAATTTCTGCGAAAAAGCCAAATTTGATAGGAATTGCATTGACTCTATAGATCAATTTGGGGAGGATTGCTATCTTAACAATATTAAGTCTTCCAATCCATAAACATGGGATGTTCTCTCATTCATACAGGTCTTCTTTCCTTCAACAATGTCATGCAGTTTTCTGAAGTTTAACACTTCCTTTGTTAAACTTATTCCTATGTATTTTATTTTTTTTGATGCTATTGTAAATGGAATTGTCTTTTTAAATTTCAGATTATTCATTGCTAGTATATAGAAATCTGTATTAGTCAGGGTTCTCCAGAGACACTGAACCAATAGGATATATATTTACCTAATCTTATTATATACACCTTATATCTTACCATATATACCTAATAATACATAATTACAAGATATATAACATATTAATATTATCTGTTACATATATATATAACAACAGAAGCAATAGGCGATATCTATCTATAAAGAGATTTATTACAAAGAACTGACTCATGTGATTATGGAGTCAGTTCTTTGTAATAGCAAGTCCAAAGTCTGCACAGCTATTGCCCCAGTTTGAGTGCAAACGGGAGAAGCTGCTGTAGAATTAAGAAGACCCGAAATATGTCCCAGTTTAAAGGGTGTCAGGCAGGAAGAGCTATATTTGTACATTGATCTTATACAACTGTGCTGAACTCATTTATTAGTTCTAGTAGTTTTTTATGGATTCCTTAGGATTTCCTATATCTAAGATCATGTCATCTGTGAACAGATACAGTTTTACTTCTTGCCAGTCTAGATGCTTGTTATTTTTCTTGCCTAATTGCTCTGTACCTCAACTTTTTTTTGTGTGTGAGGAAGATCAGCCCTGAGCTAACATCCATGCCAATCCTTTTTTTTTTTTTCTGCTGAGGAAGAACGGCCCTGAGCTAACATCTATTGCCAATCCTCCTCCTTTTTCTCCCCAAAGCCCCAGTAGATAGTTGTATGTCATAGTTGCACATCCTTCTAGCTGCTGTATGTGGGACGCCACCTCAGCATGGCCAGACAAGCGGTGCATTGGTGCACAGCCGGGATCCGAACCTGGACTGCCAGTAGCGGAGCGCGTGCACTTAACTGCTAAGCCACGGGGCCGGCCCCTGTACCTCAACTTTTAAAGAGTTATTAAGAGAGATTAGCCCTTTGTGGTATATGTTGCAAGTATCTTCTCTCAGTTTGCCAGCTGTCTTTTAATTTTGTGTATTTTTTTATGATACACAAAATCTAAAAAACTTTTATGTAGTCAAATTTATTAATCTCTTCTTTTATTGCCTCTGGATTTTGAGTCATAGTGAGAAAGGCTTTCTTTCCCTATATCGAGGTTAAAGAGGAATTGTCCTTTTTTATTCTAGTACTTGTATATTCTGTTTTTACACTAGATCCTTAATCCATCTGGAGTTTTTTCTTATGCACAGTATGAGATATGGACATAATTTTATCTTTTAAAAAATGCCTATCCATTTGTCCCAGCACCATTTATTAAAAAGTCTCTGCTTGCCCCAGTGATCTGAGATGCCACTTTTATCATATGCTAAATTTCCATATGGTTCAGGTCTATTTCTGTGCTTTCTATTCTATTCCAACCTTTCATTGTGATTCAAGTGGCTGTAAGTACCACACTGTTTTTATTATAGAGGCTTTATAGTATGTTTCAACATCTGGAAGGGGTAGTTCCTGTGGTTTTTCATTTTCAGTGTTTTCCCAGCTATTCTTAAGTGTTCATTTTTCCATACAAACCTTAGTAAAATTGATTTATTAACATAAACTTTACTAAATTTTCACATAAACTTGCTAAATTTTCTCTAAACTTCCAATTATTTTAAAGTTTCATTTCTTTATCCTTTGAATAACTAACCCTCTCACCTGTTCATCAGATCACTGAGTGACAACATGTGAGGGGTGAATCTGACATACAAGAGCCTTTCTCTACACCTAGTTATTCTCGAGTTACCATCTTCTCTCATCTTAATCCAGGTCAAATGCCTTGCAAAAGAAAGAAAACTTGGTGTCTCCATTTCCTTATCATCTGTTTCTGATGGAATAGAGCTTTTATAGTAGGAGCAAGTTCATTATTCTATAGTGAAAATGTTGTTTGACCTCGAGCCTGTAACAAGCAGGGCAACTTACTTTGAGTCCTGCATTTTCTAGTAAGGGAAAGTCACTCTCTGCATCAATGATCTGTCCTGCCCATCACCAATAAACCAGCTCCCTCCTACTGTCACCAACTAGGCTCCTCCAGAAGCTCAAAGGTGGGTTTGCAAGCAATCAACTGTTTTTCCAAGCTGTTTCTTTTCCTTTTGTATGTTAAAGAGATGTAACCACCTACCGTGCTGAAACTGACCAAGCCTCACCACAAGTGCTAAGTCCATGACCTTTGCCTTGTTTTTAATCCAAAGATTAAAAGCAGCTCTGCAGGAGGAGCTCAGGCCTCCTTATGTGGAAGCACGTTCTCCAACTGAGCCTCTGCAAGCGAATACCCACCCCTCCCTTTGGAATATTCGTTCCCCAACCGAACTAAAAGTTCCTGCTTCCCTTTCTTTGGGAGACGCCATGACCTTGAAAATGATTCATGGCCCTCTATTTGCTGCAAATACACTTCACTTCGTGATACAACTTCCACTGGCGTAGAGTCTCATTTAACTCACCAGGAGGCGAGACCACTTTGTTCGGTAACACTACCTACCGGAAAAGAAGATAGGAAGATGTTTTGCAGAAGAAAAAAAAAGTCATTTGCCCTTTAACCAGTAGGACTGCGTTATCATACCTATTTCTCTCTTCTGCCTTCCTTTCAGGCCCTTACAGCCCCAGCACTACACCACACAAGGCACGAAAGGAATCAAGAACATCGTCGCTGGCCTTTTACTACAGGCCCGGCGAGGTTAAGCGGGCCGAGGTGTCCACGGTTGCCGAGCTAGCCAGTAGCAGGGCAGACGCTGCACAGGCTGCCATTCGCTACTCGCCGTGGGAACGGCGGGAGCAGACTGTGAGGGCGGCACAAAGGTCGGGCCCAAGGGCGGGAGGCGTGGTGCGGCCCGCGGTCCGGAAGCGGGGGCGCGCCTCCCCGAGCCCGGACTCTCCCCCAGACCGGCCGATCCCGCGGCGTGCGGACAGGGGCGGCGGCTAAACCCGAGGGCGTGAGGGCGCGGTCGGACTCGGGAGATGGCGGCGGCAGCTGTGAGCGGCGCTAAGCGGAGCCTGCGGGCGGAGCTGAAACAGCGTCTGCGGATGATGAGCGCCGAGGAACGGCTACGCCAGTCACGCCTCTTGACCCAGAAGGTGCGAGACCATGAGGCCCGCCACTGCTGCAGACCGACTCGCTGAAGGCCAGGCCGCACCTGGCTTGCGTATCTGCGCAGGCGCAGGCCTCCAGCGCGCCCTCTGGCGCGCGCACGTCTCCCCTGGCGCGCGCACGTCGCCTAGTGGCTGTAGCGATGCTCTAGGCCAGCGTGTCTGGTGAAGAGCGCGGGGTGAGAGTCGTGGGGCTGACGAGGGAGAGGATGGGAGTGGGTGACAGACTTCTGCCTGGCAGGGGAGTTGGTTGGATGGATGCACCTTGGCGTTGAGAACTCCTTAATGGGGAAAACGGAGGTGCTGAGGTAAGCAGCGTGAGAACAGAAGGATCTGGTGGGCAAGAGAGGTGGACACCTGAGCGCTAAGGTGCCTTCAGTGAGTTTTAAAGATAGTGAACTACGAGTAAGAGTCCAGTCATCTCAGTAAAATGACCAGAGAAAGATGCAGTTACTTGAGACGAGCGGACACAAAAAAGGGTGTAGAGATGCCCAAGGACAGAAGACGAACGTTGACTGCACGTCACCAAGCACGGGGAGGGCCTAGCGTTTTCCTGTCAGGCAGAAGATGACCCTTAAATGCTTTTTTGAATTAGTGAAAGAAAGAACTGATTGTCATACTTAGGCTGCCCAAGACTATAGGAAGCAGAAGACAGAAGTTAGGGGAATGAGTGAGATGCCCTGTCTGTTGGTTATAAACACTTTGGTTTTGTTACTTTCACCGCCCAACTTGCTATATATTTTCAGTCTGTTTTTGCAATGTCAGTTTTCTTGTCAGTAAAATGACAGTCGTATCCTGTCGTGAAGGCTTATTCTGAAGATGTCTGGGATTTTTGTTGGATACGGGAGGAAAAAATATCGATGTCTTATGAATAAGTAAATATTAGTAATTCTAAGTCAAACTAATTATGTCTTCCCCAACAGTCTGTCTCTGACAGAAATACCATTTGGAAATTAGCATGGGGATTCTTTTCCTTGATGTCCCTTGAAATTAGATATGCCATAAGAATTTCTTGATTACCCTTCACGATTCTATCATCCACTAGTTTTTCAAATTCAAGGTTCCTATGGGTTAAAGCAGTAAAGCAAATACACACATTTCACCCACCTCTTCATGTATGTAGGTGTGCATGAGGGGATCTATACAGATGTTAATTTATTCGTTCAAAGTGAATTATTTTAGTTACTATGAGGAAGGCATTGGTGGGTGCTTCAGTGGATGCAGAGAAGTGTAGGATCTTATCCTTACCCTAGGTGCTTCAAGTTTAGCTAATTAATTCACATATATTCAACACCTACTGTGGTCCATACTTTACTGTGTACTGGGTTGTAGGGATGAAAAAGATATGATCATTGCTCTAAAGGAGCAAGCAGAGAGTGTAGAAGAGGAAACAGATATATGAATAAAGAATTTCAATGCTATTATATATGATAAACTTAAACACCAAAGCTGTGGAAACATAGCTTGGGGGAGGGGGAATCAGACGTCTTCCTATAGGAAGATGTTTGAGATGAATTTTGTAGTACAAGATGGATTTTGTCAGGTGAAGGGAAGATGAGATGGGTGAACATGAGCAGGAGTATTTTGGTAAGAGAGGGAAGGACACGATTTAACATGGGCTTTGGAACTGCACAGATCTGGATTTAATTTGACTCCACTCCATTTTAGCTGTATATGGCCTTGGACAAGTCTCCTAATCTTTTTGAGCCTCTGGTTCCTTATCTATAAAAGGAATATCCTTGTAGTTATATTGTGAGGGTTAAAGAAAGAGATGTGTAAGGGGATGTATTCAGTGCTTTACATATTTTTGATATATCCTTTAGGAAGAGTGTATTGGCAGCATTTTGGAAAATGAGTTGGGGAGGGAAGAAAGAAAAAATATATGGAGACCAGAAAGGGGCTGTTGTGATAATTCAGCTGAGAGGTAATGATGTAAACAAGGGCATGGGCAGTGAAAATGGAGGGGAAAAAAAGCAGGTAAATGGGAGTCTGTGCAGTGAGAACCAGTGGGGCTTATCCGCTAATTGGATAGAGGTTAGAGAGTACTCGAAAAGGAAGAGGATCACTTGTGATTCCAAAATTTAGAGCTGGGGACAAAGGTATTTACTAAGCACAAGGAATGTAGGAGTTGGAGCAGATTGTGGAGGGGCATGGGGAAAATAAAGATGAGTTCAGTTTGGTTTCTTTGTCTGTAGAATATTAGAATTTATAAACTACAGGTGGGAACAGTAGCTATATAAAGGCAGAACCACTGACAGCAACAGTGACAACTGAGAGCTGGCATCAAAGGAGGAGAGAGAAAAGTTAAAAAGCAGACCCATGACTCTCAGTAATAAATACATTTTACCCCATACAAACAAATATACACATATAAGAAATATGTTTCGCAATCTAGTGTTTCACAACTCTTATTATATACAATAAACTTTAATATTTTCTATTTCATTTAAAAAGGCTGATTGTAACCCACTGTTGATTTCATGACCAACCAATGGATCATGGCCCGAAACATCAATGTACTGTGACTAGAACAGTGTTTTGCTATGGTGCATGTTCAGTAAAGGTATTAAATGATGCCTTTCTTCCAATAATTGAGAAAGGCATATTTATTCTGATTGACACAGCACCTTTTGTAGAATTTAGAAATTTATCAGAAAAGTAATGTATGGTAAAGAAATTCAACTTTATGCCATATCTTGACTCCTTAACAAATAAGATGAGGAAATTAGTGCCCCTGAACTCACTTTGTCTTCCATTCTATCTGCCAATTTCTGACACCTGTGTCATTATACTTACATTGTCAAATTTTATATTTGTACTCTGTTCTATAACTGTAATGAATCTACTGAGCATTTTTTGTGGCTGATTTCCAAACTTGAAGTAAATAGTATTTACAATATTTTAGTTATATAGATAGTATTCACTGTAGAACTAAGTTGTATGATTGGATATGTAAGAAAAGGATATATAATTCTGTGTCACTCGATGTTTGTGGCTAGGAGGGGAGTGTTGTCAAGTGTCAATACCAAATATTTTCTTTTTTCTTACGCTCTACAGTTGCTCAAAATCAAGCCATATTTCAGTTTGTTCCTATTTGGAGTATAAATTTCTAATTTAGCTCTGTGTTTTTCAGGGCGTTTCTTATTGCCTTTGTTTTTCCTTTTTTGGCAAAACAAGAATATGCCTTTATCTTATTAATAGATTCTTTTTCGTTTTGTCTGTTAAAATAATCCAGTTTCTTCTTGAAAGCACTCCAGCCTCCTGCTCGGTCTGGTCTGGTTGCCTTCTAGCCTATTGCATAGCCATTGCCCTGGGGTTCCTCTTACTCTGCTTTTAAGTTAGGACTGTTGGTTCAATACAGTGTGTTCTTTCTCGGATTTCTTTCTTTATTTCTTTTTTTCTTCATCTTATTAGAGTATATATTCAAGTAATTTTTTTTTGGAAAATATATATGGGGGTAAACTTTTTAATAGTTTATACATTAGAAAATGTCTTTACCCTCATATTTGATTGACAGTTTGAATTTCAGGTTTAAAATTATTTTTGCTTGTTCTGCTCACCCCCATGACCTCCATTCCATCTGAAGACTGATAACCTTTATCTATTATATCTTTGATTACTTCTTTTCCTTTGTGCCTTTCTGCAATTCCTGTTAATTGAATAGTAAAAACTCTAGATTGATCTTCTATGTCTCTTAACATTTTTTCTCATTTTCCCCATTTCTTTGTCTTTTTCCCCTACTTGAATGCTTTCTCCTGATTTGTTTTAGTTTTGGTAATCTTAATTCCCAAGTATTATTTCTCAATTCTCTGATTGCTTTCTTTCCATACCAGCCTGTTGTTGTTTTATAGATGCAACTATTTTCTTGAATTTCTCTGAGAAAACTAATTAGAATTTTAAAAAATTCCTTGTTCTCTGAATTATCTCAGTTTCTTGCTGGGTCATCCCCCCTTTTTTTATTCCCTCTATTTTGTGTTTTGGCTTTCTAAAATGTTTGATGAACTTTTGTCTGTACATGCTTATGAATGAAGGTGTAATAGCTAATGGGGATTTCCTTTGCCTTTTATAGTCACTTTGGGGTTTCATGAGAGGAATGGATTCTACCTGACCTATATGCATGTTCTCTGAGTGTTGTGATCTGCTGCTGTTTTGTCTGTAAATACTGTCCCATCCACTGTCTGTCTTACAGAAAGTAGTCGAGTCTCTATTCTCTTGTTCTCAGTGCTATAATGGTTTTCTTTTTGTGCATCTTTACTGTCATATAAATGAGATTTGAGAAGGGAAGAAAGATAAATGTGTGTGCACAGTCTCACGCTGAATTTTAACTATTACTGCTTGTTCAGCTCTTGATTTTCTGTATTCTGCTGTAAAGAGAACAAGATAGACACTTAACTTTCTCAGAAAGTGCCAAAAGCCTCAGATCTGCCCAAGGTCTGGGTTTCACATTTCCATTTACTTTGCCTATTTCAGGCCTCATAACAGCTTAGGAACTTGTTGGAAAGGTGGAGTTAACTTCCTGACTTATTAGGACTGGTTTGCTGTGCTCTATCTGCTTAATTTCTGTGTGTCCTTTTTTTTGTTTTTATTTATTTATTTATTATTATTTTTTTTGTGAGGAAGATCAGCCCTGAGCTAACATCCATGCTAATCCTCTTCTTTTTGCTGAGGAAGACCGGCTCTGAGCTAACATCTATTGCCAATCCTCCTCCCTTTTTTTTTTTGCCAAAGCCCCAGTAGATAGTTGTATGTCATAGTTGCACATCCTTCCAGTTGCTGTATGTGGGATATGGCCTCAGCATGGCCGGAGAACAGTGTGTTGGTACACGCCCGGGATCCGAACCTGGGCCGCCAGTAGCGGAGCGCACGCACTTAACCGCTAAGCCACGGGGCCGGCCCTGTGTGTCCTTTTTTATTAGGAACAACTTGACTTTCTGTACCTGTATCTTTCTGCCAGTCATATTTATAAGCCACTTTTGCAGTATCTTCTTAGCTCGGAGAACATGGAAGAAAAGAAAAGGAAGGGGGAAAAAAAGGAGCTAACAGCTAACTTCTGAGTCTGAGAAGTTCTGAGATTGTTAGCTTTTCTGTGGTAAGCAAAGCTCAGCCCCCTTCTGCCTGATGAATGGTTAAACTGAATATGAAGGGATTCTTTCACCCAGGTCCACGGTCTCACAACTTGGCACTTGCTTTTAGGGGGCCCTTGCCTCTCCAAAATCCCCTCGCCTCCCATCTTTGTGAACATTTTAACATTCATTTGAACAGAAGAGTTTTCGGAAATGGGATGGAGGTGGGGAGAGCTAAAAGAATTATATGGCATGTTCTCTGCCTCCCAGGAGCTTATGGACTGGTCAGAGTGCTACATATAGGGCACATGAAACAATTAGTAATCAAGTCCTGACAATACATAATTAAGTGTTAAGTTGTATGTTAACTCTAAACGTTGTAAGCATTCTGCAGAAGTCAGGAGAAATTAGGGCTTGGGTTGGGCTTGAGTGGGTAGAATTTAGAAAGAGAGAAGCCTGACAATCCAAGGAGTGAAGAAGCTTGTGGGAGCCAAGGTTCAGAGTTAAATAAAGCAAAGACTCTAGGGGAAGTGTGTGAGATGACTGAGAACTGCTAGAATGGGTAGATGGAGGTCAAGCCTGGAATTCTCTAAACAGAGAGCAAGGCCCCACAGTGGCTTTTTAGAGTTTTCACAGTTACTGGAGTAGGAGTGCCAGGGAGATGTAAAGGGATCAGAGAAGTAAGTGTTGGGTCCAGGACTAAAAGTCAGGCTTCAGGATGCAGCACTGTCTGACCCACTATACCACTCTGCTTTTTTTTTTTTTTTGCTTTTGGATAGTTGAAAAGTTGGAGAAGGCTGAGCGAGAAGGGAGAAAGTGTTAAAACTATTAAGGGGAGTCAGTATTTTTGAAAGTGTGATCTTGGAAAATATAATTGCTATCATTTCCCATTAGGTGATTGCCCACAGTCAGTATCAAAAGTCCAAAAGAATTTCCATCTTTCTGAGTATGCAAGATGAAATTGAGACAGAAGAGATCATCAAGGACATTTTCCGTCAAGGCAAAACCTGCTTTATCCCACGGTACCAGTTCCAGAGTAATCACATGGATATGGTGAAATTAGCATCACCTGAAGAAATTTCTTCACTTCCCAAAACGTCCTGGAATATTCATCAGCCTGGTGAGGATGAGGTTCGGGAGGAGGCCTTGTCAACAGGTGAGTGTTACGGTATTGGAATTGACATTTTAGGATGCTGTCAGACTGTGACAGGTTGTTAGACCTCTGATCCACTTGTTATGTTGGGTCAGTGGGGGTTGCTTTTCCTATAAGAATGAATTTGTGTTTCATGTATATACCAGGACACCCACATTGCCTGGCTTAGGATGAGACGCCCTCGGTAAGCTGTGAAGAGTCAGCTGTAATAGTGAGGTATTGAGGTATTGTTGCCTTTTTGCAGACTCTTGCCCTCACCCTGTGGGTTGAATTATACATTTTCACTGAATAATATTATCATTTCCCATGGTTTCAATTATGATCTGTATGTTAATGAGCACATTATTATTAATGTTAATAAACATTTGTATCCTCAGTGCGGACCTGTCAGCTATCTTCTGGACATCTCTACTTGGTTGTCACATGGGCATCTCAAACACAACATGTTCCAAACTGAATCATGTTCCCCTTAACCCCTGGTACCATCTGTCTCTTTTAGTGCTTGGTACCATCAGCCACCCAACTGACCATGCCAGAAATCTCAAGATCAGCCTTGGCTCCTCTCTTTCTCTCATGCCCCACGTGTGGTCTGTTGCCAAGTCCTGATGATTTTAGTCACTGAGTGTTTATTGAATCTATCCACTTCTCTCTGACCCCACTGCTACTACTGTAGTCTAAGCTACCATCTTCTCTTGCCTGGGTTATCGTAACAGCTTCCAAACAGTACTTCCTCTCCTTGTCTTGTATTCTCTCCTCCCTCTCCATCCTTTATAGACATAGTAATTGAAACAACATTTCAACAACACAAATCTGACCACTTCTCTCCCCTTTAAAGTCTTTCAGTGACTTCTTGCTGCCCTTAGGTTGAGGTAAACACTCCTTAACAAGGATCTTCTTGATTTGGCCCTGCCTGTCTCCATTTTCACACCTTTCTCCTCCTCCGCTTCATAGTCTAAGTTCCAGCCACTCTGAATCTCTCTCAGTTTCCCAGCCCCACTTTGCTTTCTCTACTGCTGGAACTTTATACATGTGCTTCCCTGGCCAGCAGCCACTTGGGAGATTTAATCATTATCAAGCAGACAAAGAGCTGAAAACAAAACAAGCTAAGGGTACTATTTTGAAATAGAGTGCCTCAAACCTGTCTTAGAGATGTATATTTTTGACTAAGACTTAAATGGTTGCAACAAACCCTAGATAGCTTTATGCAGTCTTCTCCCAATTTCTGTCCCCTTCCGAAATAACAATGTAAGCTATGAAATCAATATGACAGGGTGGGAGGGGACGGAGTCAAGGGCTCATAGTAGTAGGGGGATTATCTACTTTGCTACTTTAACTTACGCTGTATTATCCAATCCTGTGCTTTGATAGATGTTAGGTACCAAAGGTACGCTCAGATCTACCTCCTTCGTGTCCTACATGAGTAGACCAGATGAATGCCAACATTACAAAACTCTTTCATATCTTCAAGAAGAAATATGGCAAGCATTTTAAGACAATGAGACATAAGGGAGTATAGCATATCTTGGGCTAAATCATAGCCCAGATTTATAGATAAGGAAAGACAGGAATTGTAGGCTCTGACATTGCTCATACTTAATGCACCTACTTCTCCAGACTCAAAGGTGGAGCCAGGATACTCTCCCAATTTTGGTTTACTATAGTAACAGCTCCTCCAATGCTTGCATCATCTCTGTAATGTCTCTGCTATTTGAAATTCTACTTGGTGTCTTCCAGTAACCTGTTCTGCCAGAGGCAGCCCACTGCCTTTGTAGAACAGCTCTGCCCCTTCTTGAGTATGTTCCTAAGGTTAGCTAAAATGTGTCACCCTGAACCTTCATGTATTTGTTCTATTTCTGTTTAAGTACAGCAGTGGGAAGAGTAAGGAAGAAGCATGATCATTCCTTTTGATTTAGTTGCACTTCACGGTTAGGATAAACTCAGTCCAAGTCAATGAGCTAAGTTATTTTTGTATGGCTTTTAGCACATCATTTGGTGCATAGGAGCTGTTCAGTAAATGGTAACTATTATTGATTTTAAGGAAGGAAGGTAGAATTATTCATTATATGATCAATACATTGCTGGTTGAGTGTTTAACATTTTAATAATTTCCAACAAACATTTTCTGAGCATCTACTTTGTGTCAGAACTGTGTTACCTCTGGAAAGATAAGGTCCTGGACTCAGGGGGCTTACACTCTAGCTGGGGAGACAGCAAACATATGTAAATAGAATAAATTTCCCAACCTGCAGTATATGTCAAATATAAGTGTCAAGTAAAAAGATGCAGAATATTAAGAAAATAGACGTTTGGGGCTTGGCCCTGAATAGAAAAAAGTCCACAGAAAAAACCGGTGGTTCATTTTTTTCCTCCTCTATAACATTTATCCATGTATATTTGTGGGACAGATTGCTTTTTTCCCCATGTGTTTTTCTTTGCAGATACTTGCAATCTGGGTTGGAAAAGGATAGGCGATTATACCTGTAGTTTCTTGCAACTGCAGTCTGGGAGCTGACGCTCTTCTTCACTGTTGTTTATAGAAATGTTCCAGTAGGCAGTCTCTGCTATTTGTTATCTCCCAGCATCACATTCTGCACTGTGGATTTTTACTTGCATCAGCAGCTTAGAATGTGGCAACTCCAGTGCTAAAGCATAAATCGAGCTTCACAGTGTTTGGGACAAGCTGATTAGAGCTCAGATTGTCCCCGGTATAGTTTATGTAGTCTATTTTTTTGGTTTGCTCAAGTTATCTCAGCTTAGAAAAGAGTGAGCTTTACTGTCTTCAGTTGCAATCATAAGTTCCTAAGCAAAAATTTTACATGGGGCATTTTTGAATTATGTATACAGCAAAATAACAGATGGATAAATGAAGTAGAGGGGCTGCCTCTTTACTGAATTTATCCTCAAAGTGAGGGCTGCTTGGGCAATTAGATTAGCCGAGAATTTTTCCGTTGAAAGTACATAATCTGATTCAACCTGGGCTTAAGCAAAAGTGGGATTTTTATTGGTCCAGAGACTGAAAAATCCACAGAGAGCTAGCTTTAGATATGGCTGGATCAGAGTCAGTAAGATCTACTCTATCTCTGCCTTTGACTCTGCTTTCATCTATGTTGGCCTCATTTTTTGATGCCACATGGTGGGTCCATGGCAGCTCCCGGTTCCACAGCATCCTTACTGCCAGCAGTCCCAGCAGAAAAGAGCAAGTGTGTTTTCTAACAGTCCCAGTAAAATACTGGTCTTAACTCTCATTGACCCAAATTGGGTCAAGTGGCTATCTCAAAATCAGTCTATGGCCAGGGACATGGACTCGGCTGAATGACTTAGGCCTAGGTCTTACATGCCTGTCCCTGTGCCATTCACTGTGACCAGGGAGCAGGGATGTGCTGACTGACTAGGCTGGGTCCCACGCCCACCTCTGCAGCCCTACCCAAACCACTGAGCTAAGAGTGGGGTGGGAGTGATTCACCACAGGAAGAACAGATGCTGTTTCCAGAACAAGGGAAATGGATACTGAACAGTGAAAAAATCGAACTCACTTATGCTGTCAGTTACTTCTGGGATTCTATAGAATATAACAAGCTCTTTGCAGTCGTAACTTTGTCAGTGCTGAATTTTATTTCTGATCTTTCTGGAGGCTCTTTAGGAATTCGTACCTATTTGTGGGTACCTGACACATGACCTAAATAAATGATCACAATGAGGACTTTCTAGTCCTCAACCAAAACATTTTAAAGTAATTGAATGTGGCAGGGTCAAGGATAGAGTCTGAACATGACATGTGCAACTTCCTTCCAGGTTGTTCATGATCATTACTTTTGGGAGGGTTAGGATTGGTTCATTGAAAGTAATTACCATTAAATTGACCTCATTTCTTTCTTTAATAGGGTTGCATGACATCTACAAGAATATAGTAAAGAGAGTGGGTATGAATTTCATGAAGGCATTTGACAGAGTCATGACATCCTTGAGGATAGGCTGAAGAAATTTGGATTGGATCGTAATACCTCATTCAGAAAATGTTTATTGAACACCTAGTCTGTGTGAGGTGTGGTTGGGATGTAGTAGGGGACAGGAGGGACCTGGTCCCCGCCGTTGTGGAGTTAACCAGCCTGTTGTCCTCACGGAGGCAGGCTTGTGCCAGCGTGTCACAGGGCTCTCTCCTTTGTGCTGTCCTGTTCAGGGTTTTGTTGCCACTTAGGTGTCCCACTGTCCCTGAATTTAAGCATGTCTAAATTCATTCTTATCAATCTTTGTGTTTTTTCATGTTTCTGTTAGTAGCCAGTTTGCAAACATAGAATTGTCCTTGTCTCTTCCACTCATCCAGTTATCAAGTATCAACAGATTTTTCTTTGTAATGTTTTTATTACCTGTCTCTCTCTAATTCCAGTTTTGGGGAATCCTTTGTCTAGGATTTTGATTCTTCATATCTGTTCCATGGGAATAAACTTCAAATTGGTTTCTTGGCCATATTAATTTTCCTAAAATACCTTTTTGTACAAGTCACCTACCTCGTTCAAGCCTTTCCCTGTATACTGGATAGATCTGTATACCTGAGCAGGCCATGGTTCCTGCCAGCTAATTGTTACCAAAAGAAGGGACATTGGATAAAATTTCAACATTCAGATCACTGTCTGGACTTTACCTGTCTTTCCACCTTGACTCCTGCTTCTTCTGATGTGGTTCCTCTGCTTCAACCAAAGTGTTCTGCTGGAAGACAGTATTTCACAGCAATCGAGAACATAGGTTTCAGAATCACATAAACCTGGATTTGAGTTCTGATTTTGCTCCTTTCTAACTGTGTGGCTTTGGAAAGCTTGCTTAGTTGCTCTGAGTTTTAGTCTTGTCACCTACAAATGGTTATCATGAAACTACCTCCCAGGCCTGTTATGAAGCTTACAGGAGATGCTGTCTGCAAAGTGCTTGGCCCATGGTGGGTGCTCAGTCAAGGTTGCTGCTGTGGCTGCTAATTTTTGCTGCTGTTGAGTTGTCGTCTGAGAACATACTAT